AAATATACATATATATATATTTCTTGACAAAATAACTAAGCAAATGACATCAGGGCCTTATAAACCTATTTTACTGTAGCTTTCAAATACTGATGGGAAAGATTATGTCTTTAATAAGAAAATTAATTTTCTAATTACCAGCTAAATTTCTGTATTTTGGTGCGAAGAAACAAACAAAAAAATAAATAAAAAAAGAAGGAAGAAACTCAATCAAAATTGGAGAAGCTATATCTCAGGGATTGCCTTAAAATTTGGCATATGAAGTAATAGTCCAGTAGAGCAAATCCACGGAATATATGGGATAATTTAGAACACCACAGTCCAAGATACAGGTGGTAAATCGCTAAACTAGACTGATCTAACTAGATGTGTGGCTTGGCATACTGGGGAGTTATGACGAACATATGATTGAATAAATTCCTAAGCAAGGCTATTTCTCGGTCATAATACTCTGCGACAGACTGATAAGTTTGTCAAGATCACATTATGTTGCTGTTAATACAGAGAAGGCAGTCTAAAGAAATAGTATGTATTTGTTTGCCATAAAACAATTATCACTTGCCATCCTTTTTGTCTGATTGTAAATGTGTTTTTGTTTCAAAATAAGACTACTGTACCTAGTCTCCTTTCTTACGACCAGGTTTGACGCATTCATATGCTGAAAACAAATTCTTAGAATCCCCAATTCCTACAATCTTTATAAGCTTACCTCTTATCAAATTTTACCCCCAGTAAAAAAAAAAAACACAGTTGAAGTTTACATGAAATTCTACTCAGCCTAGATGGAGGAAAATGTAAAATATCTACCAATGAACTTTTATTATTACTAGACTTAATCAAAGACTGATATTTTTAATTTTTACATAAAAACTTCACACTTTGTTTGTGGGAACTTAAACTTATATAACAGTTTGATAATTTTTATTTCTGAGGGTTAGGAACCAAATGAATCTGTTAGGTAAAATGAGCCAAGAAAAAATACATACATCATCTAGCTGGTAATTAGAAAATTAATTTTCTTATTAAAGACATAATCTTTCCCATCAGTATTTGAAAGCTACAGTAAAATAGGTTTATAAGGCCCTGATGTCATTTGCTTAGTTATTTTGTCAAGAAATATATATATATGTATATTTCTGTTCTGTATTCTTGAAAAGAAGGCACATTCTTGCTGCAACTGTTTTATGAAGAAATTCAATATTTCAAGAAAATTTCTACTGATCAAAATGTAAAATATATCTTGGGTAGTTAAATGTAAATACTAAGTTGCAGAATTTTGTGTGCATGTGAGAAAGTACAATTATTTCTTTATATCTAAGACATTCGTTTTACAATTCTTGATTTCATCATGACTGCCAACTATTTAAACTAACTATAATGTATTTAATGGGTAATGCTTTTAGATTGCGGTATTTTGACAAAAAAGTAAATGGCACTACAGTTAGATTGAAAGGTGTAATTTGTAACAAACTACAATTGTATGTATTATTATTATCATCTGTATATTTTTTCTGCCAGTTTTATTTGTATTTTTCTATCTTTTATATACTACAATGGTAACTTAAAACCCATTTAGCAAGATAGCTTATAATAAACACATTTTTCACTGGGAGAACTTGCAAAGTAGGTACAATAGAATTTGAAGTGCTTTATTCCGATCTTCCTTTGTTTCATGTAGTTTTTGCTGTTAAAAGTTGATTAATGTGTAGTATGTAACATTTGTCTTCACATGCATACATTTATATTCAGTATTATTTCATGGTAATTTGTGTTCTTAGCTACAGTGGAGGTCAGACAAATAATACATTAAATTGGCCATTATTAATAATAATTAACATATTGCATTTCACAGAACTTTTATTGTGTAATGATTCAACTTTTGTACTCTTTCTTTGATATATTTATTCAAAATTATGATGTACATTAGCAACTAAGTTAGATTCAGATTTTAAGATGCTTGCATATAAGAACGTTGTTGGTTAGTTATAATTTTTAAGGTATCTGAAGATTACTAAAATGTTTCAAAAACTAGGTCAACCTCCCTATACTTGAAAGCCTCTGTTTGTATTTGAAATGAATTATTGTTTTTCATGTATTAAAAATTAACCATAAGGTTAGGGAAATGTGGCTTCATAACCAAATTTTTTGTTTTGCTTTTTTATATTAATTAACTTTTTGATTTATAATATTTAAGAATAAAAGAATCATTAAAGAAAAAAAATTTTCTTCTTTCATTCTTTTCTGTACATTTCCAGATATACATATTCATACTAAGTCTAGTTACCTGGGCCCTAGTGGATATCAGATAAATCAGTTGGTCCTTTCATACCTTTTCAATTTCTAGAGTTGTTTGAAGTGTACTGGTTTATCAGAAATTTCTGGAAAATTAATGGAGATAAATATATCGACAGTAGTACTTTAGAAAAAATTTCCTCTCAAAAAATGCAGTCACAAACCTTGTGTTAAATCTTACTATTCAACCTGTTGAAAAATTAGTTTTGTCTGTTAATTTATATCATAAGCAAGCATAAGGCTTAGAATTCTGTTGAAATACTGAAAAAATAAAAATATTTACAAAAATTAAATATGCTCTTAGTTCTGTAGTGGACATGTTTATGTTTTTTTTTACCATATAGTATGTGAACCTATCTGTGTGATGACTAATTGTTGAAATAATGTAATTATTTTTATTCAGCTGTGTTCCTATAATGTCTGCCTGTTAATTAACAGTGATACAGATAGATATAAATGGAGTCAGGTAATAAGAAATACTTTCTTGTCTATTATCATATTTATCCTTTTCATGATGCAATACTTTGAACATGTGCCATGATTTTTTACATTTACCTCTTTGATTTTTTGCCTGACCACCTGTCATATACGCCTTCAGGTTAATAGCATGTCACACACACACATATATATATATATATATATCAGATATAAAGAATGTAGCTGATTTCTCTTAGAAACATGTAAATAATTATAATGTAAGGATTACAATGTTTTCATTTTGGGTGATGACTTTATATGCAAATAAGTGATTTTCTTTAAACTACATTAGTTCTGTGTACCAAAATTTTGAGCATTCTACAAATAAAATATTGTGTGTGTTAAAAATTAGTACTGGCTCTATTATTTACATGTAACTTGTGTTACTGATTCTTTTGACTTCCCCCTGTTGGCTCAGCAGTGAGCTTGAGATCTTATAATGCTAAAATTCAGGGTTTGATGCCTGTCTGAGGATTTATAGATAAGACCTCAGTTTCCATGGTGGGAACAGCACAGGTAGCCCGTTGTGTATCTTTGTGCCAAACACAAACAACAAAGATAGTGATTTATTTGAAATTTTCACGATTATTATGTTATATATATTTGAAATAAATCATTTTAAAAAGCTACAGTCGCATTTGAAAGATTTTTATTGAACAAAAATTCAATTTGATACTTTAAAAATTAGTATATATTGTTCTAAACACAAAAGAGCTCAAAACATCAAAATAAGAAAATACCATAAATCAGAAAAAGGTTTACTGTTATTTAGTTTGGTTCAAAACCTACAAAATCTTCATTGCTTTCACTGTAATTTATTTTTTTATTATGTTTTTAAAAGAAAAAAAAACTACTATTGTTATAAATAACACATTCAACTATGCATGCCTATTTAAATATATTTACACGTGGCTTGTGTATATCAGATATATACACATATATTATTCATACCTTCGGTGTATAGAATGCAAGCAGATTTTGACATCAAATTTTGGGCTAAAAAAGTGCGTCTTATACACCAAAAAATATGGTAATCCCTGAAATGAACTGCAGAGCTGTCAACTGAAAAACTTGTCTTTTTTTACTTATTGAGATGTTAATAAATTTGTCAAGCCCACCAGAGAAGCTCCTCTCATCCCAAATTTTTTTCAAGGTAGTTATATAATCACTAGTACATGCCTGATGGACATGTTTATAACCAATAGAAAGAGGATGAAGATCAATTAATTTAAGTATATTTAAAGAAAATATACATTATTGAGTTCTTTTTTTTTTATTGTTCTACAAAGAGACTCATGTTTTTTTAAAATTTGACATAAGTATTTTAACTAGGAACCATTGAAAAAATATAAATTGTTGTTTAGTAAATTTATTTCTGAATGCATGTTAGGGACTACCCTGAAACTGGAATTGAGGATGATACGGGTCGTCCAAAAGTAATGATTCGAGAAGCAGAGGGAGCAGAAGGATATGTCAGTCGTATTCAGAATGTCACACAAAATGTGATGGGACGTGTCTCAACCTTTAGCAGAGGTATTGGAGGATTTGCTAACAAAATATCTGGAGGTTTCCTTAATTTCTAAACTTCAGACCTACAGTGTCTGTGATAATCTCTGTTTTGTATGCGTGTAGGCTGGCAAGTAACTAAATGTTCTTAAAATGTGACCATCAAGTGTGAATATGGGAGTGGAAAAGCAGGTATTTAATCTCTGAAAATGTTTTAAGGAAGAGACAAGTAAGAATTTGTGCTTATGAAAGAAATGTGCGATCATGAGGAGAAAAGTACAAGTTAGACTTAAAAGTGTCTTTAGCAGTATTTATATTAATTTAGACGTACAGAAGATGTGATTAGAAAATTAAAGGATTGTTATTGCTGTCTCAGAAGCAGAAAAGATAGTTGTTTATCACGATTGTTTAGAATGAAAATGGGGAGTCCAAACTTACCATCCATGAAAAGTAGATAGGTGCATTTTTACTTAGGTCAATCTGTTGAGTGAAGACTGGATAATGAAGAAAGATTTTCTATCTTGAAAACTAAAATATATATATACATATATAAGCACAAGAATAACTGAGTGGTGGTATAACTAGAACAAGGTAAACAAATATTAGGTTTAGGAAAATGTCATTTCCTAGCATTAAGTGGCTTAAAACTATGCATAAACGAGTAAGTGAGGATAGTTTTGGGCCCAGCTGAGCTTAAGCTTCGGTTTGTAATTCTGGATGATTATGCTTTGGTATAGACTTTTTTCATTTGCAAGCTGCGACTTTTTTTACTTTCTTATTTTCAACTCTTTGCTTGCATGTTATAATACCCTCAAAATCAGTGGAGAAAATATAGCTGTACTGTTTTCTTTATGTAGATGTGTAATTTTGAGACTTGTATGAATAAAGATGTTTGTATTAACTAATGGTTATAAGAGAGAATCCTAAGTTATGTAGGTTAACTTTCAGAGTTACATGACTGGAGATATAAGAACTGGGGATTTATGCATAGTTCTGACAAAGAAATGGAAATGCATTGAAGAATATACATAATGAATTAAGGTCACTTGGAAATAATTATAACTCCCTTTGATTAGTCATTCTTGTATTTTGAGTAGTCATATATTTCATGGTTTACCTGTGGGTATTTACATTTTTAAGGTTGTTCAATGATTTTTTATTTGCTATATTCATCAGATGTTTTAAGTACCTTGTTGATATCTTCACTCTACTATATAACATAATACAAATTATATAATCATGTAAATCATGAAATTGTTTTTTCGTCTTAATTGATCTAATTCTGTCATTAATTGTAAGTGGAAATAAATGTAAACTAATTGTGACATATATGGAGTGTAATAATTTGTATAAGCACTCTATAATAATGATGATGATCTTCAAGTGTTGGTGAAGATATACGTAGAAATACTTTTGGTAGTGGACAGCAGAGTCACCATTCCAGTGTCGAGTTGAGCAGATGTTGATAGAGGTCCCAAAAACAACGAATTCCCATTTCTAAATAGTTATAAATGTTGTTAGTTAAAGGGATATGCTCATATAGGCACATCAGTGTGGTGTGAATTGTTTAGTAGATTTTCAGCTCTTAAAGGCTTTTTTCCTTAAATATCAATATAAGAATGTTTGTTTTGTGTACATGCATGTATCCATATTCCTAATCAATTTTAATTTCTACTTTGTTGGTGGTTGTTGTGTAAATTTCAAGGAAGTTTTAATATTGTGTGTGTGTAGTTTCAAATCAGTATTATTGGTTAAACAGTTTTCTGTTTGAAAATGTTAGTGGTTAAATTTCACTAGTTTAAACTGAAATGTTTATGTGAAACCTATAGTTACTATTTGCAAAATAAATTCCAGACTAAAGCATGTATAGTCCCTAGAAAATCAAATTTTAATATCAGATCTAGTCAATCCTTGAAAATCAAATGTGTTCAAAAACCTAAAAGTTGTATAGTCATTTGAAAACCAGATTCTCAGATCTTTCTAGTCACTCTTTGAAAATCAAATGTGTTCAAAAACCTAAAAGCTATATATTTATTAGAAAATCAGATTGTTAGTGTATATCAAGTTTTTAGATGCCTTTTATGCTTTTATAAAAATTAGTGTGTGCAAAAATCCAGAATTTTGTTTCTCATTTTCAAATTGTGAAAAATAATTTATAAAGGTTTGTGAATCTTGTGGTTAGTGTGTAGAACTTAATGGCAAAGTTCTGAAGCATTTTAAAGACTTGTCAAGTTACTTGATGGTGAATATGTTCAATAAAATACTTCTCTTTTAGTGTAAAAACATTTCATTAATTCAATTTTCTGCACACTTGTCAGTTTCATGTTGGTTGAATGAGCTGCACTGCTATCAACAGGCAAATTTACACCCATAGGAAATATGTAAATTAAACCATAGTGGGGCCTATCATGGTATCATGTGACAACTGTGATACTTGCTTATGCATAATAACCTTAACAACCATGTGCAATTTCACCTTCCTATGCCATTCTATTTGTGAGATACAACAGCCTAAGTGGCAAAACTCTCCTTATAATCATCCTGTACATTCGGCAACATAGTCTGTGTATTCTAAAAAAAAAAGTGTGTTCTGTATATGCAGAAACATAGTTTATATGTTCCAAAAGAAGATTTTTACACACAGTAATATAATTAATGTATTCCAGAAGAGAAGTGTTTTACACTCAGGAACATAATTTATATAATTCAAAAAACAACAAAAAAGAGTACTTTCTTTATATGAGGAACATAGTTATTGTTCTCTATAAGAAGAATTTTGTTACATTCAGGATTATATTTTGTTATATTTAAGAAATGGAAATAGTTTAACACATCAAGCAAGGCTCTGTCACTATTCTAGCTCAGTATACAAAGAGGATTCTGTACCGAAGAATTATAAGAATGTGAAATTAATGTGAAACTACCTAAACAAATAGAAAGTAGGCTTAATGTATGATAGGCCTATTTTGCTCTCATTCATACATTGTGTGAGTTCCATAAACCACTAATACGAAGGCTTTTAAAAAAATAAAATCAGCTTTCCATGGAAAATAGCATGGAATTTAAAAGTGGTTAGAAGAAAGATGGTTACTACTACTGTTTAAATATGAGGGAGACAATCATCCTATTAATGAAAAAGTGAAAGGCACCATATTTTTTGGAATATTAGACACACTCTTATTTTGAAGACAAAGTTTTGGGGGATTCCAATCCTGAGGCAGCTCTCAGAGAGTGCATAACATTTGCGTTGTTCCATTGTTACTATGTGAAAATTCATAAAAACATTTGAGAATACTGGTTGCACTTGTGATAAGCCACATGGAGTAGACCACTAACGCCTACTGAAACTATCACTGAGGTCAGCTATGCTGTAGTAGAACAAGCCAGCAC